AAAGTATGAGCGAAATCGATTTTTCGAAGTTTGCCACGTTTTGCTCGATGGTTACAGACAGTCACTCGTAAACGTTTTAGTCCTTCAATTTCTGGACTTTGGTCTTTTAAGTTTAGTTAAATTTTTGTCACTCTCTAAATTCAAAATTTCACCCTCATTTTGTGAGTTTGCAAGGGTTAATTCTGTGCCCTGTGTGTGTACTACTGTACATGATTGCTCCACATCCTTGTTCAGGTCTGAGCTAAAGTGGAAAATGTTTCTTTTCCAGGTAAGGAAAGTGAAGAAGAACAATTTACTCCAATGGAAACAACATCTTCAGGAAAAAGTGACCCACCAGACAACAAAAAGAAAGAGAAGACTAAATCAGATTCACCTCCAGATGAAGTTTTTCAAACTATTGTAAACATGTTCCCAGAAAAATCCTGGACCATCGAAGACATCAAAAATAGGTCAGATACAAAAATGTATATTCAGTGATTAATTTTTATAATGATAGACGATACATCAATTTCTTTAAAATCAAAAGTTGAAGCACACTACAGTACAGGCCGAAAGTTTTTTAGGGTCAACTCAGTGTATCACACACGGACCCCATGCACGGGATCCGCTTGTACGCATGGGATCCTACCGTACGCATGTATCCCGTCCGTACAAGCAGGAAAAGTTAATGAGGTCCCACACAGCATAAGAGCTCATTAACTTGTGCGGAGCCCGTCCATTTCCCGCGCGTGGGTACCCTGAAAAATTTCTGGCCTGTACTGTAGGTTCTACGAAGTCCTCCTGTATGCCCTATACAGTGGTTATTATAAATATACATGGTGACAACATTTGGATAACTGTTGGATGATGATTCTTCAGTCATTGTCATTGGATTACTACTTATACATGTCAGCCAATGTTCAGCTAACACTTGGCTGTTGCTTAACCACTGATGGTCAAGCATCAGCAAACAAATGTACATTTATTGGCCAGCAGAAGTTTCAGTGAAGAAACCACCATTTGTTATTGCTAAGTTTCATATCTGGGAAGACTGGGCCAAACCTAACAATTGTGAAAATGATGTCATTTATATGTCCCTCTCCCAATGTTTTTGTTCATTTGTTCGAAATTGGACTGCATTTGTAGAACTTGATGGTATTTTACTACAAAAATAAAACATTATATTATAAATGTTCATTTTATCCAGCCTGGTCAACAGTTGGCCAGTAACCCCAGTCCTCCAAGGTGTTAATGAACTGAGGGATTAATTAGCATGAAATAAGTAAGTCAGTGTTAATGTCATACTTGTTGCTTAGGTATTTTGAAGAAGTCAATCGCAATAAAGGTCTTCTTCCTCCTGAGTGTACACCAAACATTGACAGGTCAGTTATTATGTTTTTTTCCCTAAAATTATCTTTAGTGATTCTGTTTGATTTTTATGTACAGCAAATGCATAATAAAATGTCACATGTCCCATGTTTCCTGTTACTTTGCCCTCCTTAATTCCATAAATAAAAAAAGAAGAGTCAAATTTTAGTACAGTACATACACTGTACATGTATGGGTGTTACACTAAAATAAATGTTTCTAAATTCTATTTGGATAAGGTGAATGAACTCCCACTTTGTGTTAATTTTCACTGTCATTGTTGATGTTATTGTTGTCCTGTTGATTACTACAGTACTACTAATATTACTCTACTTTAATAGAAGCTAGACTACTGTAAGTTTCATTGTGTTTGACTGTCACCTTAAAGACGTTCATGAACATTGTTTGTGTGCAGCCTTTCTAGGCATGAGTTTAGTTTGCATGGGAATGATTGACACCAAATTTACGACAAAAATGCACCTGTTAGCAAATTCCAATTCTATGTATTTTGACAGCTTCACATGGATTGAAAGTTTCATAAATCCTGGGCATTAATCCTTACATGCTTTTTATTAAGAAATGTTWTAGAAATTCTTTTTGTTTTTGGTATTCTTCTTGTTTTTAATTTTTTCTAAGCATTTTATGTGATACCTTAAGTTATTCTATACAGTAGCACACATTTTTTTCTCGATGAATGCCATATTTTCTCAGCACTTAGCAAAAAACTAATTCTGTGACCCCCATTTTTAACTCGTGGATACGCGAAGCGTAGAAACGAGTTATTGTGAGGGGTCTGAATATGCAAATGTGTCACTCGCTCACTCACTCACTCACTCACTCACTAAGATGTTAGCAGATCGATAATTAAACGTTTGTTGATCGTCTTACGTCATCCGATTACGAATGTTACAC